CTCCCGCCGCTTCCTCGCCGCAGACGCTTCGCGGCAACCAACTGGACAACCAGCCCGGCCTGGATCCACAGCGTCGCACAACGGTTCCGTTGAAACCCGCGTCTCTACCAGCGCCGTGTAACCAACTCGCCACGTTTCCACCGATCATCCGGAGCATCGCGTCTCTTCGTCTCTCCTTCTGATCTGCTTGCTTCGTCCGAACCGTTGGCCTGTGTTTTCGCCTCGGTTTCCTGCTCGTCGACTGGTAGTGCGCGTATCGTGCGCGTTCACACGGTTCAGTTTATCGCCACGGTGGGCACGACTCCCCTGTACGCTTAATTTAGGTTAGAAGAACCACCCGGTACAAGGGTGAACGCGAAAGTGAGAGTGCAATGGATTATGGACGTATCGGGAAGATTTTGAGGTTAAGGTACGAAAAGTTAGTGATGACGAGAAGCATCGATGAGGACGATACGGTTCGTTGTCGGTTGGACTGTCCGTTGAAGTAATGAGCTGGTGGCTCGGGTGGACTGGTTCTTAGTGTATTACGCCCGGAGGATAGGTTATCGGGGGAAGATGAGAGATAAACGCGAACCTCGTGGTGGCAATCCGTCATGAACTGGCTTGAACAGTGTCCGTCGGCAAAGAAACTGAGGGAAGAGTACTTTGTGCTCGGGAAATAACTGAAGCGTGCGCGAGTATTTCGAAGTTTCTGTCGTGAAGTGTGTATTCTATGATAGAATTCTGAGACACTATGCGAGTAGGATATCAGGGATGGGTTGTTAACGATTTACAGGTGGCCAATGATCGAACAGGTGCCCTGTACGAAGACAATGATCCCTCCAGGCAACTTGCAGCGGATGGAATCCGTTAGGTAACGACCTGAAATTCAAATTGTCAAGTAGATCGAGGGACAAAGCGAAGACGAGTGTTTGGCAGTCGTCATGGAAGAGTTAAAGACTTAAAACAAGATTTTACATTTTCGCACCGATCAACTCGGTAAAACACGAAAGAAATCTTCTTAAGAAGAAAAAGAAATAAAAAAGAAAAAGAAAGGGAAACATGTCGAACACACCACCGGAATCATCCACCGGTTTAGATTCGAACGATCTCCATGAGATCAGGCAGAATTATCTAGCGGCCAGGCTGGAGCCCGACGAGTCCGAGAAACGGGATCAGATACGAGGAAGTGACGGCAACAATCCTGACAGCGATTGCGAAAGCGACACCAGCGAAGTGTTGAGCGTCGGTAGCGAACCGACGCCCACAAGCGTCGTTGGTATCCGCGGTTGTAGCTCGGTCAGGTACGAGCAGGAATCGGCGAGCAGTCGTGGTGACTTTCGCGACGAGGAGAACACGAGGACATCGGCGACACCATCGCCTTCTAGTTCAGCGAGCTGTAACGATGCGTTCTATCAACGAACCGGTAATCACATCTCGGCACCGAGTCCACCGGCGTACAGTCAGCCACCGTCATCGCCCACGGCATCCTCAGTCAGGTCACCGGCTTCGTCTTCAGCCACTGCTTCGTCCCCGGGTCGGCCCGAAGCGATTCAAGAGGTCATAGTGCCCAGGTATCAATCCAATCATCCTGCACACTTGCTACCACGATATTCATCGAGGGAAACCGAGATTCCCGACTATCCTACTCGAGTTCAGCATAGTCTGAGTCACGAGATCGTTTACCCGACCGTGGAAAGGCTTCACCGGACTCCGATCAGCGTTCCTCTAGTGACCAGACTGTCGTTGTCACCACCGTCGGCCATGACAGTTACCGGTCTGCAAGCGACCACTCCTGTTCTCCATCCAACAGCTTGCAGAGATCCTCGAGAAACCGCCTCGCTAATGCCTCATCCTGGCCAGCATTTGCATCACGCGAACAGCCACGTTCACCTTCATCAGACGTCCCAGATACAACACGTTCCGGCAAACTCGGTTCACCAGCATCGACTTTCGGTCAGCAAGATTCTTCAAAGGGAACCTGGCAGCCCTTCCTCACCCGGGGCGAGAGAGGAAAACGGAAGGACGATGCATGGCGCCAATGGAGTTCAGAATAATGGCATCAATAACAGTAACCATCATAATAACCATAATAACAACAACAATCTGCAGCATCAGGCTGGCTTGAAGTTCAGTATAGACAACATACTCAAGGCGGACTTCGGTAGGAGGATCACCGATCCCATATCATTGAAGAAGTCTCGACCGAAGAAGGTCAGCTCGAGACCCATTGACTTGACCAAGGACTTTCTAGAGTCGACTACCGAAACCACGGAGAAGAGCAGCTCGGAAACAAGCTCGACGACCAATACCTCGTCCGGTGGTGGTGTGGCGACCGGGAATCCTGCCTCGAACACGCCTGTACCACCTGTGACCGATCCTGGAAAGCAGTTACCGTGGCCTGCCTGGGTCTACTGCACCAGATACTCGGATCGACCTTCCTCTGGTGAGTTCTGTTCTCTGTTACGATCGTTCCTCGAAGCGAGAACCGTGCTAGGAGAACGGAGTCTTTTCTAACGACAGTCATTAACGTCTGTGTAGATGGTAGATAACAGGGGGGAAGCTATTAGTATTCGGTTTACAGCGTGTAAAAATGTCAAGTACCGATACAGCGGGTTCGTTAACTAGCCGCTACAATGAATTCTCAGGGGCAATTTTTAACTTATGGAAGTTAAAATAGTCTCACGTTGCTGCTTTTACGTAACATCTTTGCGAATCGATACGATGAGGTATAACGTCGATCGGTTTAGCCGGTTTGTAGATAAATTTCCATCGTGGCGGTTAAATAAGAAAAGGTCAGTTAATAGTATAATCAATGGTATTTCCTGTGCTTGCTCGTGATTCCCGTTGAGTTTATTTCGTGCACAATTTACTATGTTGTGTTTGACGTTCGAGCGATTTTCGTGGAGGAACGCAAATGATTAAACGACTAATGGATAAGCGCTCGTTGTCAGCGATCGCTCCGCTGTAACGGAATTTCTCATTAGAACAGTATAATGGTGCAAAGTTCATCAACTCGTGAGATTCGAACGCTATAAAAGAATTATATTCCTTGGTCTGAAAGAAATCGTTGTTATATAAGGGTTCGGTTATTGTGAGATATTTCTCTGTCACGATTTCGACAATTTTATTTAGATTATCTTTTTCTAACTTCGACGGTTAACTAATTATTCCAAAGTACCTGGCAAAAATGTGTTCGTGACGATACTGCTAGAATGAATAATATTCGTTCCTCGAATCTGATTCACGATCGAGATAGAAGAGCGCCGATTTTAATTGAGATATTAATAATTCATCGAACCTCGGAACATAGAAAAAAAAAAAAACATTAAAATTCAACACGGTCTTACGGTGTAACACAAAGAACAAGCCACTGTCTATATCTGTGTATATGCCGACTTAATTAAGATGTACGTTTAATTAGCACAACAAGACGTATGATTTCACGTAAAAATTACCATTTCATTCGAGCATCTTCGCTCGATCAACTTCTATTCCTGAATATTCAACGAGCCTTTTAGCAGGCGTTCCCCTAGCGTTGAAACGAGCCCAGCGTTTCACGTACGAAATCGAACTTCCTTCTACCAAACGGGCTAATTAGAGATTTATTTTGTCGCGATTGGACGTCTTGGCGGAATTGTTTCCCCGGTTTCGAGCAGATGGATGACCCTTTCAAACGACACAGGAAAACGTGTAATTACTTTACTCACCGACCGAGTGCCAGCTTGATGAATGGTAGAAAACGTTTCTTCGTGTCACTCATATCTGATATACGCTCATTGTCAGGAAACAATTGTTAAGCACTCGGAGAAATAAGCTGCTCTCTGCCCCATAAATCAACCGCGATATGCAACCAACTATTTCTCTCGGCTTTTGTATGCGTAACAACAATTTCCTATAGGTCATTCAGTTGTCGTATTCTTATGCAAACCATCGGTAAATAATCGCACCCTATTAGATCGGTTTTCTGTTTTCCAAACGTGCGGCGGTTGCTGCCGCGTTGCGTCCTTTCGTCGTGCTTGTCCCTTTTTGCACAAGGAGCTACCGCGTATGTACCATGGATGCGTGCTCGGTGAAAATTATTGCTGTCCGCAGCTCGATAGGCATTGTGTTAGAAAAAAATCAAAGGCATAACACAAGCGGCGCGAATCCGTCGCTTTGCTACCCTATTGTATTTTAATAGTCGGGTGCAGTGCAACGTTAGGAAACGACTAATGGGAATGCCACGAATTTCTCACGGATCAATTTTTCTTACCATCGGCACACGCACTTTCGCGTGTAGCTACTCTGATTCCAGCTCTCTATTCCAAAGTGATTCGCGTTAGTTTTCTAAGTCTTTGAGTTTTTCTTTTAGTAGAAACAGGCCTGTTTATGAAAAAAATTTACTCAGTGGAATTTATTTGTTTGGACTTGTTCAACGATAAATTGCATAACTGCAGTATATCGAATGCTTTCTCCTACTTATAATTGTTTGCTCCAATAAGAGGAATTCGTATATAGATAAGTATATATTCAGTCGATAGAAATTTATTCGACTAGGTAAATATTGGTTTGGAAATGGTCAGAGTTGCAGGAAACTGATCGACTTCTATCTCAATAATTACTAAACGTCGAATATTAAATATGAATATTAAAGCGAAACAGGATATAGAAAGAGGGAAGTGGAATCAAAAACGTTTCGTTGTCGCGTTGTCATTGCGATCTATTCGGTGAATGAAGTCGTACGGTCGGCGGAACACATAAAAGTGCTAAATTCCCGATTAATAACCGGTAGTTTTTGCGTGGCCAGTTTCAACCGCCCGAGCACCCACCGTGGACGAACGACAATATTGGATCACGTTCCTATTATGTCTTTACAGCGCGTAATTTCGCGGCCGACAGATAAATAGTCCGTTGAAACGGTCACGATAAAGCTTAATCACTGTTATTGCACCGGTCGTGCCGCTTGATATCACAGGTTGGAACACTACTCTATGTATTCTTTCTGCGCCCACGCGTGCACTCAATATTCAAACGGAAACCTCGTCAATGTCGGTTTACAGAGAAATTCGGAAATTAGTTAGGCTGATAGCGAGAAGATGCCTGGCGAGACTTTACAATAAATCGTTCGAACCTCCAAAAATATACCACTGTATAAATATCCATAAAATGTCTATGATTATCTCGATTAAGTTGATCATTCACAGCGGTTAATTTTATAAAAATTGCAAGATAGAAAGCTGGCATGTTCCAATAGTATAATTTCAACTAGTGATAAAAATTCGTGTGCCGTGTTTTTAGATTTATGTGACAGAAAATAGGTTCAACATGCTATAATTAGGTTGTAAGTGATTTTTGCTCGCTCTATAAATATTACAACACGAAGAAGTACTACATATTTATTTTCCATATATTCGAGATACATGTTACATATTTTTCCAATCTCAGCATCCTTGCATCTTTAAATTCTCCATAAATATCGAAACATTTACAGTGTAGCTAGAACTAAACGGACCAATCTTCTTTCCACTAGCCAACCATTTATCTTTGTACAATGTGATGAATAAATTGCTCAATGAGACTTCGTATATCGACGTTTGGCTTCTTTACAGAAAAGAACTAGTTTAGCGAGGAAAAGAGAAGAGCGGCAGATCACGAGGCCAAGAAATATCGCATTTGATCTGGTTCTCCACGGTGACTTTATAATTTAGCACTTTGCACTCGGTGAAAAATGTTGGACAGTGTTAATGGTGCTTTATTGCCGGTCAGTCAAATCAACGAGATACGCTTACGAGGCGTCGTACTCCAGACCACCTTATCACCGGGATAAATTCGTTATTAATTACCTCGACCAGTGGTTTTACGGTGCCGCGACAGGGACTCGATTCTCGAAGGAAATCAACGCCGCATAGTACAGTCGAGACGCGCGACGTGTCGTTAAGTAAAACTAGAATTTTAGTCAGACGGTCATCTCGAAACACGATTAGATCGGTGTTTCTCGTGACTGCCGAGGGAATTATGCAACTTTCGTGCGCCGATACGAATCTCTCCTCGTCTCTGGTCGTTACAAACATCATCGTGACTATTAGGGACCTGGTTGTTGTTAATTTTCCTTAATTATTCGCTGGTTCAACGGCCAATCAACCAAATTACAAGATTTCGTCGCGTGGTCTATTCGTTTCGTCGTCCATTCGTTCGGTCGTTTATCGTTTCTTCATAATCGCTTTTCGACGAAGTATCGTTCTCAACCTGTGAAAGCTATTTTCTTTATTACCTTCTTAATTAATATTTAATTCGAAGAAAATCGACGGAGTGGTGAAACAGAAACGGCGATGTTCTTTTAGAAATGTAAAACTAATGAGATTTTATGAAGTCAACAATAGAAAAATTAGTTTCCAAATAAGAATGAATTATTGAATAAGAAGCAGTAAAAAGCGAGGAGAAATATGTTTACAACTGATCTCATCATTCTTTTCTATATACAATTTTCTATATCAATTCTATATAAAATTCTTAATAAAAGAAAAACGACCGAACTTATGAACGAATCTGCCATTTTCTGGTATTCGAAGTACCATTTGGCGATCAGTAACAATAAATCTTGCTTATAAAAAAAGGTGTGTAACTAGAAATAACATAAAATTTCCCTGTAGAAATATATATATATATATATATATATTCATTACTACTTGAAGGCGATTAGCCAATAAAAGGGGAATATCGCATGTTATATCCATTTACGGAAAGTTATGGTTAATTAGCTTTCTGGGCTGAGCAACGTATACGGAAGATATTTCCATTAACGGGACAACGAGCGGTGTCAGGAGGAAATGGTAAAGAAATCGTTGCTGCTGAAAGTCGTGAACGAAGAAAAACCAGGTAAATTCGTTCACGGTGGCGGTGGTTCGCGATAAATGGCCGATATTCTCGGCGAATGCGACAAATGGGAAACCGTTGCTCTCTCTTAACGAGGAGAAAGGGCTATGAACCCGTTCTGATTAGCAGGAACTGTCATTAATGCGTGGACTTTTCAATCGAGTAAAAATATTCGCGATATGAGAAACGATCGCTCTTCTGGGAAAAGAATTTTAAGAATCAAGTTAATTGTGCATCTTGGTCATTCGTAGGGGTAAAATTTTACTCTTGCATTTCTTTTTACGAAAAGGATTTTTATTCTCATTGAAAAAGGTTTAATTTGATTTAGCGAGTGCTCGCAGAATAAGATGAAGATATTGAAAGGTACTTTCATTTGTTGAAAGTCTACGATGATAAAAAAGTTGACTTCAAACGTATTTTCACTTTTCACTGATTCGTGAACGAGGTGCTCAGAATCGGTGGAAAAGTAGTATAAGTGAACTTTTTACACGAATAAGATAGATCCAGGGAAGAATAGACAACACGCATGTTCATAATTTATAAAATTTTACAAAAACGTATAATTCTTTTAATTTTTGGAAACACAGATTT